GACTCTACGATGACATACAACAAGTGTAAGGCAGTTTTGCGCAAGCAGAATACTTAGGTTAAACTTGACGAGTGTAGCATGTACAGACATGTACAGTCATATAGTAGATATGATCAACATGAAGATGTTCATCATTGAAGACTACTTCATCTCACTGATGATCAGACATGGTTAGTTTATATGGATCATGTACCATTTAGATAACTTGAGGGTATTAATTTAAGTGGGAGTTCATTAGTAATTTGATTAATTGAACTTAATTTATCATGAACTTAGTACTGATAGTATTTGCAAATCTATCTTGTTGATAAATGGCATGTGCTACTATTCCGTTGAATTTTAATGCGTTCATAGAGAAAGCTAAGTTGAAAGATAATGGTAGCAATTACACGGATCGGGTCCGTAACTTGAGAATTATCCTCATTGCTGCATAAAAGAATTATGTCCTTGATACACCGCTAGGTGATAGAACTGCTACAGGAGCTGACGCAGGCGTTGTGAACGTCTGACAGGATCGATCTGATGACTACTCGATAGTTCAGTGTGCCATGCTTTACGGCTTTGAACCGAGACTTCAATAGCATTTTGAACGCCATGGAGCATACAAGATGTTCCAAGAGCTAAAATTGATATTTCAAGCTGATGCTTGGGTTGAGAGATATGAAGTCTCTAACAAGTTCTTTAATTGTAAGATGGAGGAGAACAGTTCTGTCGGTGAACACGTAATTAGAATGTCTGGGTACCACAACCACTTGACTCTGCTAGGAATTAAGCTTCCCGATGAGTGTGTTATTGATAGAGTTCTTTAATCACTGCCACCAAGCTATAAAGGCTTCATGATGAACTATAATATGCAAGAGATGACGAAGACGATTCCCGAGCTCTTCGCGATGCTGAAATCGGTGGAGGTAGAAAATGAAGAAGGGTTCTCATGTCACCTTTCTTTTCAGCTCCCCTTCATCCAACCTTCCTTGTATGATAATAAATCAACTTAATTTAGTTATCTTCTAAACCAGTTCCACTATAATTACTTACCAAACTTTGGATCAAATATAAGGTAATTCATTGGCAGAATCCGATGATCATTTATTTACACAATTACATTATTAGACAGGTAAATCACAAGCCGACGTACTTCTCTATACTACTTAAAAAGAACGTAAGGTTCTCAATTCACCTTTATTTCCATCACCCCTTCATTCAACCTTACTTGTCTGGCAATAAATCAATTTACTTCAATTATCTTCTGAACCAATTTCACTTTAATTTATTTACCAAACTTCAGATTAAAATATAAGATAATTCATGGGCAGAATTTGATGATCATTTATTTATAGAATTGCATTATTATAGACAGATAAATCACAAACCGACGTACTAGAAAATTTATATCCTGTTGCAATGCATGTACATTGTTCTAGTCAACGACAAATTGTTCTAGTCAACGACAAAAGAAAAATGGTAGTAGTAGTTCTACGAAACCCTAACCGGTAGTCGTCTCGTTTTTGTGTCCTGGGGTTCTCCCACGAAGGCGATGTCACGGGAGATCGATCGAGGAAGACCGGGGCCGCGTCGCCGTTGAACGCACGGTACGCGCAATCAAGGGGTATCTACATCGGCCTCATCTGATATTGCGTGAGTGCCGTGACCGATGACACGCACAACAGTAGCGCAGTTGGACATACGTCCGTCCGCCTCACACGCCTCCTCCGTGGCCTCGCTTTTTGAGTTGTCCGATTTGCCGTCCTACGTATAGCGTCCATGCGTGCATAGCAAGAGCATGGCGCGGGGCCCGTGGAATCTTTACGAGAGCCTGCCTACACGGCTACACCCTACATTCTATAGCATATGACGCTTCTCTGTAACGACCAATAATGCTCTTCTTGCTCGATGCCAATATGTCGTTCCGTCCGTTTTCGCGGTGTATTTCAAAAGATGCATGGGTAGACTTCCGTGTGAGTACATGGTTGTACGTTGCCGTCGGGTAAACTTTATTATTGACTTGCGTCGTACTTAAAGGCAAAACGTATGTACGTGTCCCATTTCGGTTTTCCAAAGGACAACATGGATCGAGCACCACCAAATTGTACAACATGCTGGCTGAATAGCTGAAGGACCAACACAATCAAAGAGTTCACAAACAACACCATAACTCCACAGGCCTGCCAACATGCATGGCTGCCTCGTTTAGTCCTTCAGTTTTAACTGTTGTCAACAGCGGTCTAAAATAACAGTTTGAACAGTCAACACTGCTCACCAGGATCGATCGGCCAGAAATGCCTTGCCGGCCGGCCCACCACAAATTGCACACCAGTGGAGCAGTACTAGTAAATTGGAGGTAATAGCACTACAGGTTCCTGAACTTGCATGTCAGATGATGGTTTGGTCCTTAAAATTGAAAACGTAGATTATTTCATCCCTCAACTTGTCATGGATGTGCAAATTTAGTTCAGGGCCAATCAGAACTTGCCAAGTGGATGTCAAGTGGCCTGGCTGGTCAGCGCGCGGCATTTTGCACTTAGACCCCTAACTTATGTGCTTCGCTGGCCGCCATGCTGCGCCCCGCTTCAACATCCCGGGCCTCAACCCCTCCGCTGCCGCCGCCAACGCCGCGGGCAAGATCTCCTCCACTTACGGCCTCGTCGAGCCGATGTGCTTCCTCTACATGCACGTGGTCAAGGCGCGGGACCACCCGGCCGTCTCCCCCACCGGCTCCATCGACCCCTTCGTCGAGGTCAAGCTCGGCAACTTCAAGGGCACCACTGCCGTCCTCGCCGGCCACCACAGCCCTTCCTGGCACCAGGTCTTCGCCTTCTCAGCCACGCACCTCCAGTCGCATCTGCTCGAGGTCGCCGTCAAGGCCAAGGATCTCGCCGGCGGCGACGACATGGTCGGCTGCATGGCTTTCGACCTCTCCGAGGTGCCGGTCCGCGTGCCGCCGGACTCCCCGCTGGCCCCTCATTGGTACAGGCTCGAAGGCAAGCCCGGGGAGAAGCTCCACCGCGGCGAGATCATGCAGTTGGTCTGGCTCGGGACCCAGGCCGATGAGGCGTTCCCGGAGGCCTGGCATTCCGATGCGCGTGGGGCGGCTGGTCCGTCGGCCGTCGCCTCCACGCGCGCCAAGGTATACTTCTCGCCCAAGCTCGTGTACCTACGCGTCGCCGCCGTCGGGGCGCAGGACCTAGTGCCCCACGACACGTCGCGCGCCCCATGAACGCATCCGTCAAGCTGCAGCTCGCCGGGCAGGTGCGGCGCACGCGCTCGGGCGGGACGCCGGTGACGCCCAACCCGATGTGGAAAGAGGAGTTCATGTTTGTCGCGTCGGAGCCGTTCGACGAGCCCTTGCTCGTCACCGTGGAAGACCGCGTCGGGCCAGGCCGCGGCGAGCCGCTCGGGCGCATTATGCTGCCCCTCAACGCCGCAATGCCGCGCCATGACCACTTCGGCAAGCCCGTGGAGCCGCGCTGGTACAGCCTTGCGCGCCCCAACGACGAAGGCGAGAAGAAGGAGGGCAAGTTCGCGAGCACGATACAGCTTCGGATGTCGCTGGACTTTGGCTACCATGTTCTTGACGAGTCGACTTACTACAGCAGTGATCTCCAGCCATCATCAAAGCACACCCGGAAGCCGAGCATTGGTATCCTTGAGGTGGGGGTTCTAGATGCACGCAACTTGATTCCCATGAAGGCCAAGGATGGTCGCAGCACTGACGCTTACTGTGTTGCCAAGTATGGTCCGAAATGGGTGCGCACAAGAACTATCATGAACACCCTGAATCCCCAGTGGAATGAGCAGTATACCTGGGAGGTGTTTGATCCTTGCACTGTGATCACAGTGGTGGTGTTTGACAATAGCCAGATTGGGAGCAAGAATGGTGATGCCCGAGATGAAAGTATTGGCAAGGTCAGAATTCGTCTCTCGACACTGGAGAATGACCGGGTGTACACCCATTTCTATCCTTTGCTAGCTCTTAAGCCAAGTGGCCTCAAGAAGACCGGGGAGCTGCATTTGGCTGTGCGGTTTACTTGCACGGCATGGGTGAACATGATGGCAATGTATGGCCGTCCGCTGCTGCCGAAAATGCACTACTCACAACCAATATCAGTGATGCAGTTGGACTACCTGAGGCACCAGGCGATGCAGATTGTTTCGACAAGGCTTAGTCGTGCTGAGCCTCCTCTGCGCAGGGAGGTGGTCGAGTACACGCTCGATGTGGGCTCGCACATGTTCAGTCTCCGGCGCAGCAAGGCCAACTTCTATCGCATCACCTCTTTGTTATGTGGTTTTGCCTCAATGGCCAAGTGGTATGATGGCATCAGGAGCTGGCGAAACCCCATCACAACAATGCTGGTGAACATGTTGTTCCTCATACTGATCTGCTACCTGGAGCTCATCATGCCTATCATCTTCCTCTACATGTTTATGATCAGACTGTGGAACTATCACTTCCGGTCAAGGCACCCACCACACATGGATACCAAGCTATCGCAAGTAAACTGCGGGTTGATTCGTCACAAAGGCAGGGGGCTAAGTGCAAAATGCCGGGCGCCGACCAGCCAGGCCACTTGGCATCCACTTGGCGAGTTTTGATTGGCCCTGGACTAAATTTGCACATCCATGACAAGTTGAGGGATGAAATAGTTCACTTTTTCAACTTCAAGAACCAAACCATCACCTGACATGCAAGTTCAGGGACCCGCAGTGCTATTACCTCGGTAAATTGGCATAGTAGTACTATTAGTACTGGCCAGTACTGACTGCGGCGCTACAAGGCCAGTTGGCAGCAGCATCTCCACCTGCACTGCCATTACCTCGGCAGCAAAGTTTGGAGCATACAAATTGCCGAGCGACAGGAACACTACCAGTACCACAATAAGCATTCGCATCCTACTTTACCACGCCACCACCACCACCCTCACTCAGTCTCAGTCTGCCGAGCGAGCGCCGAGACGAGACAGCAGCACTACAAAACACAACGTCAGCTAGCTTCCGGCCGACTCATGCCGGAGAAGCCTCCGCCGCTCGGGCGCCGTCCGACGGCCTCGGCGAGCTGGGTCCGGTCCCTCCACTGCAAGTCCATGGCGGCCGATGACGTCGCTGCCAACGTCGCGGCACTGCCAAAGAAGTCGCACCTCCTCCTCCGGTCGAGCTGCGCCAGCTCCGGCGACGCCCAAAGGGACGTCTCCTCGTGCAAGCCCAAGCTCAAGTCGAGCTCGAAGACTAGTTCGGCGACCAAGAAGCCCAAGGCGGCGAAGTCGACGTCCGTGCCGCCGTCGCCTCCTCTCAGCCCGCTCGGCCCGCTGCCGGCGCTAACCGAGCTCCCGGCGGGGCACTCCTCGCGGCAGGTGGTCGAGATCATCTTCCTCTCGTCGTGGTCTCCTCTCCCGCCGGCGCCGGCCGCCCATGCCGGCGGCGCGTTCTCGGGGGAGGTGGAGATGCTGTTCCGCGTCCACAACCAGGCGCGCGCCGTGGCGCGCTTCGAGGACTACCGCGCCGCCGTGCGCGCCCGGGCCGGCGGCGCCTCCCGCAGCGCCGCCGACGGCAACGAGATGATGCGCTTCTCCCCGGCCCCGCCGCACGGGTGCTCCTCCTCGGACAGCGCGTCCCTGCGCGTCGTCCGGACCTTCGACGGCAGCGGCGGCGCGCACGCCAGCGGGCGCGGGCCGCAGACCGGCCGGCGGGCCATGTTCCTGTGCAGGGTGATCGCCGGGCGGGTGGCGGAGGGGGCATGCTCCGAGGCCGCCGGCAAGGAGTACGACTCCGTCCGCGGCGGCAAGGGCGAGCTGGTGGTGTTCGACCGGCGGGCGGTGCTCCCATGCTTCCTCATCATCTACAAGCTGTAAATAAACAATGCCCAGTCCAGTAACCTCTGCCGCTAATATTGATTTTGGCACTCACTCCCGTGTTAACCATCAACTGCATGCATGTAGTAATAGTTCTGATTCTTGGTAAATCCCCGTCGATCCGATCACGCACCCAGGCGCAGCGGTTAGCAGTTTAAGGCATGTACAGTGCTGTACCACTTGGTGCACCTGTAGTGCTGTACTATGCAAGTGTGTCTATGCTCGCCTTGCGTCCGGGCGCGGGTACGTGCAGCGGGCCACTGTGGCAGTCGCACTGTGGTTGGTTTATTCCCAGGAGTTGTCGTGTTTGATGGGGAGGGGGAGGCTTTTTAGGCTTTCGCCTTGAGGTAAGACAAAGGGAATGGAACGGCCGGCGTCGCGTCGCATCGCATCGCATCGTATCAGTGTCATCAGAAGGGAGCGCGTGTCTGGGAATGGGACGCCGTGCCGCTGAACCGGGAAGGGGATGGACCGATGCACGGCTGATCGGCCTGTGAGTGTGAGCCGGGGCAGGCGCGTTAAAAGGAGGAGGCGTTTGCGTTTGGCACTGCTCGTCTTGTCTTCAATTCAGGCGTCTCTGTTAGGCCAACTCAACCGCACGACCTCAAGCGAACGTCCGGATTGGCCGGATTTTGTCCGTTTGGGACGTCGATGGGTTCGCTCATGTCCGACTGTGTCCGTTGGGTCGTGTGTGCGCCACCGCACGACCGCACCCCAAATCATGTCCGGGGTGGACGGGAATAAAAAACTGAATGAAATAACTAAAAAAGGAAATAAACGCATTTAAAAAAAATGTAAAACATATATAGGGGTCGGCCACAAAACGACACGGTTTCAACGGCCGCTTAAAAGGCCTAGTTTCATAATTAACATAATAACAAAATACAAAGAAAACTCCTCCTGGGCGCTCCTGCCGCGCCCGTCGCCGTCTTCACTGGCCGCCGGTGTCGCCGTCGTCGCTGACGAGGTCGACGTACTCCGGCGGCGTCCAGAGGTGGGGCGGCGGTGCGTGGTAGACGGGGGCGAGCTGGACGACCAGAGGTGCCTGCACCACCTCCTCCCGCGGCGACGCCTCCCGCTCCGGTTCACGCCCAGGCCGGCGGCCATCTCCGGCGCAGTGCAGGACCAGCCCCACCCCTGGCCCACCAGCTACTCGAATGTGGGTGGGTCCTCCTCCTCCGGCTCCCCCATGACGGCCGCCAGCTGCAGCTCCGGGAACGCGACGTCCCCGGCGGCAGAGAGGGCGATGGCCTCCTCCAGGTCGTCCCACTGCCACTCGTCGTGCGTGTTCATGGAGTCGTCCATGACACGCTGCAGGAGACGGGCCTCCTCCTCCGCTGTCATGCGAGGAAGGGGAGGTGGCGACGGAGACGGGGAAGGCGACGGCGTGGGCGTCATGCCGCGCACCCGCGTACGCCCGCGCGGCTCTGCACGTGGCCTCCACGGCCCCGACATGGTGCCGGCGAAGTAGGACGCGCGCCGCACGTCGTGCTCGTCCTGGAGCCATGTGTCCCACAACGGGGAGTCGGAGGCATACCTGTGGTCGTAGTACATGTCGTCAGGGAGGAGGAGGCGGCGGCGGTTGAGCTCATAGTGCCGTGCACGGCCGGTCGCCGACACTGGCGGGATGGGGACCCGGTCCGCGGAGAGGTGCCATCTGTTGGGGAGGTGGGCGTCGCTCCACGGGACCGGCGTCCTCGTCTCCCAGTACCTCCGGCACACATCCGCGCAGATGTACTGCCGGTCACGCTCGCTGGAGGGCCTAGGGGCAATGGTGAAGGGGGCCGGCGCGGGGGCTCAACGGGAGGAGTGCGGCGGTGACGCGGGGGCTCGACGGGATGAGCGCGGCGGTGACGCGGGCTCCTCCTTGTTCACGGATCCGCGGCGGCGGCCGGAGGAGGAGACGGCCTCGAGGTCGTGCTTCCCCTTGCGGTTCCATAGACCCATGGATGCGGCCGGCCGGCGAGCTCGAGGGCGGGGAGTGGCTAGGGTTTGGGCGTGTCGGCTTTCGAGGGGGCAGAGAGGGGCCGGCGTGGGGATGAGGACGACGACCGGTCCACGGGTCCCATTTAAGAAGGACGCCGACCCGTCGCTGTGCGGATGACAGGTGGGGCCACCCGCCCATGCGCATTTATGTTGGCGGGGGAGGTAGGTGGCCGCCTGCCACGCGTCTCCGACGTAGACGTTCAAATCGTCCGTTCGCTGTTCGCCGCAACCCAAACCCGTCGCAAGTTTGCGCTCGAAATGGGTCGGCACGGACACAAAACGGACCAGATGGGTCCGGGCCGTTGCGCGCTGGGCCGTCTCATTTGTCCCTTTTACCCCAAACGAACGGGGTCGGACAAGATAGGCTCGCGCGGTGGAGTTGGCCTTAGCCACGTGATGTCTCTACTCGTCCTGCCTGGCGCCTGCAGCTACATGCGTGAATGCATGGATGGAGCAGCGGCCTACTATGAGAACGACTTTTCATGCCTTGGTCACGGTAAGGCTGGTCATAGTGAGAAGTAACTTAGAGCAGTAACATGCATACGTTACTACTTTATGTTATTACCTTTATAGTGGGAAGTATCATATGTGTTGCACATGTTCATTTATTGTCTTGTAGACTCATTTTGCATTGGAAAGCGCTATGTGATGGTAACATATAGGTTACTCTATTTGTTTCTCTCCTCATTAACTACTTGGCACATCAATATTTTTGCTTATGTGGCATCTATGTTACTACCTATGTTACTCCCACTATGACCATCCTAAGAGCATCTAGACGACCTAGCTATTCCGGCCCCGAAACGTCCGCCGACGCGCCCACGCAGCCAGACCTCGCTAAGAACATCTAAAGTCGGACGACTCAGTACCGGTCACAAAAATGCGATCCAGACGGACTTCTTAAACGGGCCTCAAATGTAGGGGATGACCGACACCCCTCATATTCAGTTTAAATATGTAGCGGATATGGGGCGTCCGAGTGATGTGGCCACCTATTACAGGTAGGGTCAAGGACCCATCATTTGGGACTCACATGGGGCCATCACCATCATATGTAGGTCCCCATACCGTGCCAGACTTCAGATGCATTCATCAGGAGGATCACTCGGACGGCTCTACAGCATTCGGACAACCACACGCCACTCGGCGGACAATCAACCATTCGGACGTACAGGGCAAGAAGGCGTCGTGGAGAGCTGCAACAGTCGAGGGATCCTAAGTCACCCACTAAATAGAGTTATAGCTACCATTACCTGTAACTATTGTAGTATAGACTCATTACACTAGTAACTGCCTCATTCAGTGACATTAAATTGCCCTGGCGGCGTGGGAGACATGGGGCTGCATCGCACTATATAAGTCGCACCCCCTCCATAGCCGGGCATGTACCCATCAAATCAAAGCAAGCCTCAGGGCACGAGACATAGAGTTTTTACCTCTACCGAGTGAGGGGCCTGAACTCGTTAAACACCGAGTGTTACACCTACGTCGTAGCTAGTCTCTACCCCATATTCGTACCCCTAGTACTCATTGTCGGGAACATAACCCCGACAGTTGGAGCACCTTGGGGCTAGGCGTCCAGCAAAATTTCATGGTGTAAGTGGATTTTCTTCATCGTCATCATGCCAGTCAGCGGCGAAATCCGCTTCGGGACGATCTCCTTCATCGTCGATGACTCAGCGTGGCTACGCGAGGCCCCGCTGGACATGGAGGAGTTTCCCGTCCGTGGCGCGATGCACTTCCACGCTTTCTCCTACGGAGTCCTCCTCCGACAGCCCTCAGCTCCGTACCGAGTGGTTACCCATCCCACCATTGTGCATCATCGCAAGTGCTCTGGGCGTTCGTGGCTGGAGCGCTGGATCAAGCACGCTGTCGCCACTCAGGCGGCGGAACAAGTGGTGGCCATCGACTTCGAGGAGCCAACCCTCGACCTCTTCGATGATCGCTCGACAATTCCTCAGAGGATTTCGAGTCTGAAAGCATCGAGTCGACTGCCGAGATTCTCATGGTAGATAATTCTGAGCACCGCGTACCCCCGGGTTACATGGAGCCCAAAGTCGACCGCGCAGTACATCCCACGCCAACACCAATGGGGGCTTCCCGGGCCACGAGCCGTATATACCCCAGGCTCTCATTCGGGAGCAACGGGACAAGCTCCATCACAGGAACGACCAACTCCTAAACACCCCCATTACCAGAATGACTCCTGAGGCGCTTGTCGGTGTCAAAACCGGCAGATCTCAGGTAGGGGGGCCCAAGCTGTGCGTCTAAGGATAAATGGTAATAGGAGGCCAGGGGACACAGTGTTTACCCAGGTTCGGGCCCTCTTAAGGGAGGAAAAACCCTACTCCCGCTCGATTATATTCGACGAGTATGAAGATGACAAGAGTTGATCTACCTCGAGATCGTAATGGCTAACCCTAGATGTCTAGCCTATGAGGATTCCAATGGTCGTGAAGAAGATCCCCCCTACGGACTATCCCCTCCAGCTTATATACACACCAGAGGGGCCTAGGGTTTGTACAAGGTCGGTTTACCAGGGAAGGAAACCTCCAGACTCTATTCTTGCTTTCCATGCACTGAGAAGTCCCATCCGGACATGGTAAACAATCTTCAGCTTGATCGTGTACGTCCCATGCAACTCGGCCCATACTCCTAGGCCAGATACCTGAGGACCCCTGAATCCAGGACTCCCTCAGTAGCCCCCAAACTTGCCTTCAATGACGATGTAGTATGCAGATACAAGTCTTCGGCTTTGCAAGTCGGGTTCTCCATTATATTCCGGATTGATGATAGTCCAGCATCGATTTCTGCATCCAGCCTTTGTGATTCCTCCCTGTCGTCGCCTCGATTTCCATGTGTTTGAGTAAATGTGAACGGTCCGTTATCCCTGTATTTTAATATTTCCGACAGGTACATGTCGCGCCTATAAAATGAGGTGAGATCCCCAAAACACCATCTCGCATCACCCCAAGAACAACAAAACAAGCCACGGAAAAATTTAGACCATGGCG